ATCCAGTGGCTAATCAGCCACTCGGCTCACTTTTCTGAGAGAGAGCAGTGGCTGCAGAAAATTTTAATACTGGGTTTTGGCATACTGCTACAGGCATAACCCCGGTAAACCACTTCAAGACCTTGACATATATATACGTGTTGCGGTCTTGAAGTGGATATGATGGCTTCCTGCTAAGGTCGCTATGAAGTCCGCAACTACAGACATCATTGCACCTGATGAATCAGGAATTATGGGGTGGGGGGTTTGGGGCAAATCTCTAATAATGCTTATGATTTCTGACTGAGAGATCCAACAAACTCATGATCAGGTGTCCACAAACTTCTGGTCGTATTTATTTTATTACTTCCTCTTTAAAGTGTTACTAAACCCAGGACCTTGCATTCACTATATCCAGTCTCCCGGACTCTGCATTCACTATATCCACTCTTCCCGGACCCTGCATTTACTATATCCACTCTCCCCGGACCCTGCATTCACTATATCCGGTCTCCCTGGACCCTGCATTCACTGTATCCACTCTCCCCAGACCCTGCATTCACTATATCTGGTCTACCAGGACCCTGCATTCACTATATCCACTCTCCCCGAACCCTGCATTCACTATATCTGGTCTCCCCGGACCCCGCATTCACTAAATCTGGTCTCCCCGGACCCTGCATTCACTATATCCACTCTCCCCGGACCCTGCATTCACTATATCTGGTCTCCCCGGACCCTGCATTCACTATATCTGGTCTCCCCGGACCCTGCATTAACTATATCTGGTCTCCTCGGACCCTGCATTCACTATATCTGGTCTCCCCAGACCCTGCATTCACTATATCCACTCTCCCCAGACCCTGCATTCACTATATCTGGTCTCCCCAGACCCTGCATTCACTATATCCACTCTCCCCGGACCCTGCATTCACTATATCCGGTCTCCCCGGACCCTGCATTCACTATATTCCGTCTCCCCGGACCCTGCATTCACTATATCCGGTCTCCCCAGACCCTGCATTCACTATATCCACTCTCCCCGGACCCTGCATTCACTATATCCGGTTTCCCCGGACCCTGCATTCACTATATCTGGTCTCCCCGGGCCCTGCATTCACTATATCCACTCTCCCCGGACCCTGCATTCACTATATCCGGTCTCCCCGGACCCTGCATTCACTATATCCGGTCTCCCCAGACCCTGCATTCACTATATCCGGTCTCCCCAGACCCTGCATTCACTATATCCACTCTTCCCGGACCCTGCATTCACTATATCTGGTCTCCCCGGGCCCTGCATTCACTATATCTGGTCTCCCCGGGCCCTGCATTCACTATATCTGGTCTCCCCGGACACTGCATTCACTATATCCGGTCTCCCCGGACCCTGCATTCACTATATCTGGTCTCCCCAGACCCTGCATTCACTATATCCACTCTCCCCGGACCCTGCATTCACTATATCCGGTCTCCCCGGACCCTGCATTCACTATATCTGGTCTCCCCGGGCCCTGCATTCACTATATCTGGTCTCCCCGGGCCCTGCATTCACTATATCTGGTCTCCCCGGACACTGCATTCACTATATCCGGTCTCCCCGGACACTGCATTCACTATATCTGGTCTCCCTGGGCCCTGCATTCACTATATCTGGTCTCCCTGGGCCCTGCATTCACTATATCTGGTCTCCCCGGATCCTGCATTCACTATATCCGGTCTCCCCGGACCCTGCATTCACTATATCTGGTCTCCCCGGACCCTGCATTCACTATATCCGGTCTCCCCGGACACTGCATTCACTATATTCGGTCTCCCCGAAACCTGCATTCACTATATCCAGACTCCCCGGAACCTGCATTCACTATATCTGGTCTCCCCGGACCCTGCATTCACCACATCTGGTCTCCCCGGACCCTGCATTCACTATATCTGGTCTCCCAGGACCCTGCATTCACTAAATCTGGTCTCCCCGAACCCTGCATTCACTATATCTGGTCTCCCACAGTACACACATCATGTAAATGCAATTATTTTCGTAAATATAAACTGCTAAATACCCTTTCTCATCAGCAGTATATAGCAGTTTTGTGACTTCTATCAGTGTCTAGCTGAGCACTGGTTAAAGCTTGCAGGAGAAGTTTTTATTCTGCTCTGACTGTCACAACGAGGTTGCTTAACCCCTGACCCTTTGTCTGCACAGTGCTGATTGGTCCTGTGCTGATCACATGTACCCTTCCAAAGAAAAACAAAAATTCTCTAGCAATACACACTAAACTGAGGAAGTGCAGAGTGACTCCTAGAGCTCTGTACCATCAGCAGATAGATTGGAGACTGTGGAAGAAGGGCAGGATCAGAAGACAGGATCAAACAGCCTTTATACACAATGTGGAGGATTAACCCCTTATGTTCCACAGTGAGTATAACAAGCAGGCTTTACTGCATCTACAGACTGATTGTACTGTTGTGGGTTTAGTAACACTTTTAGGCCTCTTGCACAACTCTTCTAAGGCCCCGTTCACACTTGAGTGACGCTGTGCGTTTTTTGTGCTTTAACTTTTAAGTTCATTTTTGGACCGGCACCATCCTCTTGAATGGGCCTCCCTTCAATCCAAAAACGGGCTAAGGAGACTCATGCACCAAATTTTAGATGTGAGCCAAGCTCGTTTTGTATTGTTCGATGTTGCACATTTTTTTTTTGTACAGAATGCATGTAAAAAATAATGGCATCGCAAGCACGCCAATCATTTTTAGTGCGTTTTTTGTGCGTTTGCAGAAATATGGGCAGACACACTAATTTCTGCCTGCAGTTCTGCTATGTGTTTAGACGCGTTCAGGGACATCAAGCGTTTTGGCATTTATTATTTTCATTGACCAGGATTTTCACTTGTTCTGGCCATTAAAATGAATGCACGCTCGAGAGCCAATTGCACCAACACTTAATCATGTTCTCACTCGTTTAGGTGCATTGGGCGTTTTCTTATTGACAAAACACTTCTTTCCTAAATGTGCTGGCACTGTTTTTTTTTTTTTTTTTTTTTGTCTTATTTGCCTGTAAATGTCTGTGTGAATGGACACATAGGCTAATATGAAAGGGTGTTTGATGGGTTTTTTTTTCTGCCTCTAAACACCCCTAAAAGCAACGTTTTTGATGCCTAGTGTTCATGAGGCCTTAGAATTAGTCTTTACCATTTCAATACCGGGCAATTTTACCCCTTCCTGCCCAGGCCACTTTTCAGGTTTCAGCGCTCTCACACTTTGAATGACAATTGCGCGGTCATACAACACTGTACCCAAACTAAAATTTTATCATTTTCTTCACACAACTAGAGCTTTTGGTGGTATTTAATCACCGCTGGGGTTTTTTATTTTTTGCTAAATTAACAAAAAAAGACCAAACATTTTGAAAAAAAAAAAAAAACACGTTTTTCTTTGTTTCTGTTATAAAAGTTTACAAATAAATAATTGTTCTTCATAAATTTAGGCCGAGATGTATTCTGCTCCATGTCTTTGGTGAAAATAACCCAAATTAGGATGTATTATTTAGTTTGTAGGAAAGTTATAGAGTTCACAAACTATGGTATAGATCTGATTATTGATCAATCCTGAAGTACTGACAGCCAATCTAATTTCTTGAGGTCCAAGAATGTCAGAACAGTACAGATATCCCCAAAATGACCCCTTTTTGCAGAGTAGACAGTCCGACGTACTTCATAAGAGGCATGGCAAGTTTATTGAAGTTGTATTTTGTTTGTCATAATTTTTCAGAAAATTAAAAAATTAAAAAAATTATTTTCACTATTTTTTTTTTTACATACTGTCACCAGTGCAGTACAGCGTCATCATATAACTGGCATGGCGGTGAACAGGGACACTGACTGGTGATAGTATGAAAAAAAAAAAAATATATATATTTTTTTTATTTTTTTTTATTTTTTTTATTATTTTTTATTTTTTTATTACATTTTTTTAAATTTTTTTTAAGATTTTTTTTTTCATATTTTACTATGACCAAAGTAGTACAATGTTACTATAGTAACATTGTACTACTTTGGGGAAGTGATCAGTATTTTTTTTTTTTTTTTACACAATATGCTTATAGCAAAGAATTACTTTGCTATAAGCAAGCATTTACCTGAATGACATCGATTTTTTCAGGTTTTTTTTTTTTTGCTTTTTTTTTGTGCTTAGCTGTGATTTGGCCACAGCTAATCACATGACATGTGCATGTGACCTGCTGTGACCATTCACAGCTAGACAATAGTATACAATGGATGGCATGAATGAAGACATCCATTGTATACAACTGTCATGTGACCTGCTGTGATTGGTCACAGCAGGTCACATGGTACTGGCAACGGGGGCCGGTACTCAGATCTGTCATCGGCCGTGTCCGAGGTACACGGCCAGTGACAGATCGCGCCGCTGCGCGAACTGCGCATGTGCGGGAGCACGCCAAATGGCGTACACCCCGGAAAGCTAAAGCATTTTTGCAGCCGCCAGACGGCTATAGGCCGGACGGCTAATGGTTAAAATTGCATTATTCAGTTTACCATTACTTCCACATGCAAAGTGAAGCCGGCATCAGAGGAGTGCACAGAAAACCATATACTGGCTAATGAAAGGGATTGTGCCTGTGTGGGTTTCCTCCAGGTATTCCGGTTTCTTCCACACACCAAAGACATGCTGGTAGGTGAATTGGCTCCTGTCTAAATTGCCCCTAGTATGTGTATGTATGAATGTGAGTTAGGGACCTTAGATTGTACGCCCCTTGAGGGTTAGGGACCTTAGATTGTACGCCCCTTGAGGGTTAGGGACTGATGTGAATGTACAATATATATGTAAAGCGCTGTGTAAACTGACGGTGCTATATTAGAACCTGAAGTAAATAAAAATAAATACTTTTTTTAGGAAACAGATTCAAATTTTATTTTTATTTTTTTCTTCACGAAGGATAGTGCTGTGTTTTGCTGTATTGCCATCAAGTAACCCTCTTCTTTTTTTCTTGTGACTCCAATTAGGTACTGAACCAGTGGCAGCAGAACTCTGACAATTCCGGAGTCTCCCTACAAGTGATTCAGGAGCACCAGTTCTCGGAGGAGCAGAGAAAAATGTAATTCTGATGTCTTACTTACTGCTCCCACTGCTGTCCTCACTGTGGCCTAAGCTACACGGGAGGTTTTTAATAGCTGCTGTTACCAAAATCTTTTTTTCCGTAAATCCTGAAAGACAATTGGGTGATCACTTAGGTGCTCAGAGCCAATACCAAACACCGCAGTAACAAAACTCAAAAGCATTCATTTATTGTATTGCATGCTTTGATGTGATGGCTGCATTTGTTTTCTTTTCTAGGCTTTCTTTCTTTTATTTTCATCTGCTGATCCAGCCAGTAAGTCTGTTGTCTTTTAGCAGAAAAAGCTCTCTTGCATTTACAGGGATGAGACAAAGCATTTACCACTGACAGGGGTGCTTACAATGATCAACTTGTATTTGTTTAGGTAAAACCCTTATCCTAAAAGGAAAAAAAAACTGTTTGCTATAACTGCCTATAAAGTGTGAGCTGGAGTTTGGCTTCAGTCAGGGTGTTTAACTGCCTCCCACCCGCCATATAAATAAATGACGGGAGGGCGGCGGCTCTCTCGTTCTGGGAAGATGTCATACGACGTCCTCCCACTCTAGCTGCGTATACGTGCCCCCAGGGGCGAATGGTGCAGCGATCGGTGGTGCGCTGTGTCACAGGGACACAGCGGATCACCGATTGCCGAAAAGAGCCGATGATGTCGGCTCTGCCATGTGATCAGCTCTGTGCAATCACAGCTGATCGCATGTAAATTGGAAATGCCAGTTATTGGCAGCCTCTCCTCACACTGACAGTGCGTGAGAGAGACGGTAAGCAGCGTTCCTCAGAGGGGACATCTACACTGATGCCCTGATTATCAGTGTAGCTCCATCAGTGTTGCCTTTTAGTGCCCAGAATTGCCACCTGTCAGTGCCCATCAGTGCCACATACCAGTGCACATCAATCCCGCATATCAGTGCATATCAATGCCACATATCAGTGATGCCTATCAGTGCCCATCAGTGATGGCAGTCACTGTCGCCTATCAGTACTATATATGAATGCCGCCTTTCAGTGCCCCTCAGTGATGCCTGTCAATGCCCATCAGTACAGACAATCAGTGCCCATCACTGCAGCCTCATTAGCGTATATCAGTGAATGAGAAAAAGTACTTGTTTACAAAATTTTGAAAAAAAAAAAAGTTTTTTCTTAGTTTCTCAGTCTTTTTTAGTTTGTTTAGCAAAATATAAAAAACCCCAGCTGTGATTAAATATCAAAAGCTTGTACAGGTTTTGGGCAATTTTTAGGCATTTTGCCAAGGTGCCTTGAAGGACCCAGAAGGCACCCCAGGGTGCCTAGGTACCGTGGTTGAAAAAGACTGGTACAGAGAATCACAGAGACCCACTGATTAGTTCTTTGAGTTTAAAATAACATGTAATGAAAACAGGTTTTAATTGGTATGTTTATGTGGTAGGGGGAGGCACCAGGAAGGTAAAAAAGTAGATTAAACTTCAGCTTTAAAGTGGTAGTAAACTGTATTATAGGCTCACCTATAGGTAATAATAAAAGCAAAGCTCACCTGTAGGTAAAATGAATATCTCCTAACCATGCCCCATTTAGGAGCTATTCTAGTGAGCGGCAGCCGGTGATGTCACTGGCGCATGCACTCTGAAGGAACGGCTTACCCGTGCCGTTCCTTCAGATCTGTGTGCCGTGGCCGAGACTCCTGTACGTATGCGACTCGGCCATTCAAGCAGCCACATCCTGTGCGCCCAGAAGGAAGACCGGGTAAAGATGGAAGCCCTGTCGTTGGTGACAGGTCACCGTTGGAGGGCTTCGTTCTAGGGTAAGTCTTTCATGATATGCTAGCACATTATAACATTGCCTTGCAGGGAGAGTTTTTTTGTTTTTGTTTTTTTCCTCAAGTTTACTACCACTTTAACTGTTGGTTGGAATTGTATTTTTTTTTTTTTTTTAACTTTTTTAGTTACTTGAACATGCGGAATCTGTACGAGACTTTATCCTTTCCTACAACAGAAAGATGGAGTCCGAGGAAGACGTTATCCGCTAACCTGCCAGATTTGGAAAGGTGAGCTGTAAACCAATTCATTGACTGTCCTTTCATCACTGATCACTCCATTGTTTTCAGTCCTCTATTATTCATTGTATGAAATGTGTTTGTACTGAACACATACTCCGATCAGCCATAACTTTTTGACCCCCCCCACCCCCTAATATTGAGTAGGTCCCCTTTTTGTCGCTAAAACAGCCCTGACCTATCGAGGCATGTACACCATTAGACCTTTGAAGGTATGCTGTGGTATCTGGCACCAAGCCATCAGTAGCAGATCCTTTAGGTCCTGTAAGTTGCGAGGTGGGACCTCCATGGATTAGACATGTTTTTCCAACCCATCCCACAGATGCTGAATTGGATTGAGATCTGGAGAGTCAGGAGGCCAAGCCAGCACCTCAAACTTATTGTTGTTTTCATCAAACCGTTCTTGAATTCATCAGACAAGGCTGGCTTCTTCTATTGTCTCAATGATTTAATTGTGAAGGTCGCATGCCGATTGTAAGCACTTTTGGCAGTGGACCCGGGTCAGCATGGGCACCCTGACCAGTGTGTGGCTACACTCCCCGTGCACAACAAACTGAGATGCACTGCATGTTCTGACCCTTGTCTATCAGTACCAGCATTAACTTTTTTCAGCAAGTAAAGCTTCAGTAGCTCTTCTACTGGATTGAACTACACGGGTCTGCCAGTGAGCCTTGGCCAACCATCGCTGACTTTCTGGTTTTCTTTCCTTGGACCACTTTTGGTAGGTCTTGACCACTGCAGACCGGGAACATCCCTCAAAAGGTGCAGAGTTGGAGTTGCTCTGACTTGGTCATCTGGCCATTACAATTTTGCACTTGTTAAAATCACTTAAATCTTTATGGTTGCCCATTTTTTCTGCTGTCAACTTCGGAGAGGTGTTTGAAATGTGTTGAGGGTTTATACAAGTACTCCATCACTAATACTCAGCCAGCCCCGAGCACAGAAAACAAGGGAACTTACGTAGAGATGGTAGTCATATGAGTGGCTCCCTGCTAAGACACAGGGCAGGTGAACTACACCACAGTGGGAGGACATATTCTATGTGGAAGCCTTCGGGGTTCCATTGAGTATTTTATACATGACCCGATGGATCTGCATAGTGTTAGGGCAGCACAGTGAAGTTCTGCGTTTTCTGTTTTGAAACTTAGTGCAAAGGAGAGCATGTAAAATTGAGGTGGTCCATGCAGGACTGATCCAGCTTGAGGAAAATTAAAGTGGTTGTAAACTCCAGACATAAAATACGAACAAAGCATATCCCTCTATAGTGTGTACTTGTCTCATTCTAGAGTACTAAGTGTCATTTCTGTCTGCTGCCTCGTTCCTATGCTATTTGCTTGAGTCACTTCTTAAGAATTTTCCTGACAGCAAGAAATAAAATGGTGACAGGGAAAGTCACAGCCTGTGATTGACAGGCTCAGTTGTGGTGCTGTTTGAAGGGGGTGGTGTTCTTTCCCTCCAGTGAGATCTCAGAGCTCTCTCCTCACTGAGATCTGCAGAGTGTAACTTCAGCTCCCTGTCCCCTGCTTTTCAGAGCTCAGCGATCCTGTGTAAATTCTGCACTTTGAAAGGTGTTATGGGATATATAGCTGTAAATAAACAGGTACAACTTTAGTAAGATGTTTTTTTCATAGCTATGTATCACCTGAGGCCAATCGCTTCACTGGGTATATGTAAGGGTTTACAACCATTTTAATGCGGTCTGTTTAGGATTAATCCAGCCAGGGGAGAGCAGTAAGTGGTCCAGTGAAAGTGGCATTTTACAGCAGCAGAACTTTTCTCCCTAAGGTCCCTGTGATATCAGATGATTAAATGACTCAAAGTGGTTGTAAACCTCAGACACAAAATCTGAACAAAGCACATATTTCTATACTGTGTACTTGTCTCACTGAGTGTGGTCTTCTTTCTCCTATTTCCTGTGTTAGTCACTTCTGGCAGCTTTTCCTAACACCAAGAGATAAAAAGGTGATGGGAGGAAAGCTGCAGCCCTCAGCCTGTGATTCATAGCCACAGCTGTGAATCCTTTCTGTGTAGTTTGTGAAGAGGGGAGTGTGTATATATATATATATATTACACACACACGCCGTAGTTTGTAGAAACTATAACGTTTGCGCAAACCAATCAATATACACCTACTGAAAATATGTAGCAGAATTCCTTTTTGCCTAAATTTATAAAGAAATTAGCTTTTTTTAATACCTTTTTACTGGATATGTTTGATAGCAGAAAGTACTTTTTTTTTTTTTTTTTGAATTTTTATTACTGCTCTTTGGTATCACAGATATGGTGGCACTATCCTGCTGTGGAGATCGTTTTTTAGAATTTTTTTTAATAGACAATAAACCTACAACAGCAGAAATGGTATCATTATCCTCCTGGAGCATGGAGTCATTGGTAGATTTCTGCTGTGGAGGTAGTTTTTCAGACATTGGACTTGACAGTAAATCTAAAACAGAATTCATGGCACTGTCCTCCAGGAACATGCATGGTATCTTTCAGTCGTTGAGCTTGTTCTTCAGATGCTGGAACGGACAGTAATTATAGAGCAGAATGAATGGCACTGTTCTCCTGGAACAATGACGTCCATGGTAGATTTCTGTCGTTGAGCTTGTTTTTCAGATGCTGGAATGGACAGTAAATCTAAAACAGAATTAATGGCACTGTCCTCCTGGGACATGGAGTTCATGGTAGATTTTTGTCCTGGAACTGGTTTTCATGATGTTGGAATGGACATTAAATCTAAAACAGAAAGGCACTGTTCTCCTGGAACATAAAGTCCATTGTAGATTTCTGTCGTGGAGCTGGGTTTTCAGATGCTGGAATGGACAGTAAATTTAAAACAGAATTATTGGCACTGTCCTCCTGGGACATGAAGTCCATGGTAGATTTCTGTCGTGGAGCTGGTT